TTTTGTAATTTTGTATCTAATCATTCAGAATTCAACCAGTCATATAGTAAATACGTATACTACTCATTCATCAATATTCATCAATTCTGATGTTTACTGTTTATGATCCACTGTAAATCATATCAATCAGACCCAAAGAGAATTTGCATAGTTCCGTGGTAAAGTTGTTCGGAACAAACTCTTAACTGATCCACACATTGTACGCCCGGACTATAGCATATTAAAGATTTTGGCTTTAATGCTGAGACAATACCACCACGGGCAAATTTATAGGTAGCAATTTTTACAATTTCAGTTTTAACAATCTGCATCCGCTTAATCAAAAACATGATTGTACCATATGGTCATCTTTAACATATTATATTGCAGAATGCCACAATCTGACCCCCAGAAAAAAAAAACCAGAGCTGTGGCACATTTCGTTTTTACTAACAATACATACACAAACTTCAACATGCCTAAACATTTTTTCTGCATCATCATATTACCATTTCATTATATCGCATACAACAAATAAACCATCGAACCATGCCACAATCCCTCTCTCTCTAGTGAGTGAGAGCCACTGCAGCTTCTTGAACCAAAGGCTGAGTAACATGCACAAAATGCTCCGCTTCACGCTCCACCTCTTCCCAACACTTATGTGAGTCTCTTCCTTCACCCATTTTCTTCACAAACCCGACAAATTTCCCCCAGTTATCCGCCTGAAACAGCTCCGGATTCATCCTCAGGTAAGTAAACGCACACATCTCTCTGTTTTCTCCCTCGCTGTTCTGATCAAAGCTCAGCGCGGATGCCTTGAGGATCTGCTCGTGGGCGTAGTCGTCGTACCTAGGCAATGCGTTTTCACCAGCTAGAGGAACTTCTGCAGCCAGTGTGGCTAGAGCAACCTGGTTCACTAGCTTCTCTGGTGCACAAAGCGCGTCTTGAGGCTGCTCGTGGTCTCTCATCTCGATGCATGTGAAGTTGAATATGGCGTTGTGTCTAGCTAACATCTGGGCGATCGGGAGGTATCCGTCTCTGAACCTTGTGTTGTAGTATCCTGCTGTGAGCTCAGGGGCGTGAGAGCGGGATCCATAGTGCCAGTGGATTCCAGCGATTTTGACTGATATTTTGACTCCCGTGTCCTCAAATACCGATTTGGCTGAGGAGAGAATCCGCTCGCCATGATCCAGCAGCATCTGGGAGTACCATGAGAGGAAGAACTCTCCATACTCTGTGTTCCAACCACCACCTTCTTTTTTGAAGAACTGAGTGTCTTCTGGCCAGTTGTTGTAATGACCAGCATCGGTTGGGCCAGTACTACCCCACTCTGGCTTCCCATAAGCCTCAGCTGCAGCTTTCAAGCTGCTTAACGAGTACTGTATCAAATATGGCAAGTAAAACAATTTAGTAATACGCTCCTTGCAAAATCTAATCAGAGGCTATCATGTGCGCTATGTGGCAATTACCTTATCATAGCACTGGAAGGCTCCAATCCCTGGGAATTTCCATGTCCCGTTCTGCTCAGGGTACGAAGGGTAACGCAGCTCTCCTGCTGGTCCCATTCCCACTTGGATTTCCTGGAAGAAAAAAAAGGATTCAATCCAAACTCAATAATCCGACCAAATATACAGAGATAGTCAAGAAGCATGTTCTGATATGAAACACGAAATGGATAAGAGAAGCTGCAATTACCACAATGGTGTCTCCAAGAAGATGCTTGAAGTTATCCCTGAAAGCACGCATGAAATCCGCATAGCATTGCACGGGTGTTCTGCCTTTGAGAACTGGGAGTGTATCAGCGCCAAGTGATATATACTCGTAGTTCCTTCTTCCCCACTGATCAGTGTATGCAAGTTCTGGGTCCTTGTCAACCTCTTCAACAACCCACTGAGGCAGAGGAATACTATAGGAAAAAAAAAAGATATTCCCAATTAGAACACACCAAATCTCATTAGTCTATGAAAATATATGAAAGTGACTTCAGCCTTATAAAAAATGCATGAACTAAGTCTCTATTGAAGAAGACAAAAATAATTCATTGGTTTGATTATTCATCTAGTCCACCTAAAAGAAACGTCTTGACTACAAAATCCAACTTCTGTAATCAATCTTGAAAGAGACATAAGACAGATGACAAAAAAAAACAAAACAAAACAAAGGCCTGAAAGGAGCTAAAAGTTTCGTAAGAAGGAAACAAAGTAGAAAAAGACGAACAAGTAAATTTGAGACGCTCACGCAACAAAGAAGAAGTTGTGGCTCTTATTAGACTCTCGAACCTATCACTTTCTTCTCGAATATTGTATAATCACGTGTCACAAACAATTCCCGATTCACGTACACGTTACTCCGTTAATCAATAAACAAAACTTGAACAATTTCGAAACTTTAAGCCATAATTTCCAAGATTGATCATAAATCTACAGATTTAAAGCCTCAAATCCTCCTTTCTGGTCTTTACAATTCTAAATTTCCCCAACAATCCAAAACATCTTACTTGAATTTACCTATAGAGTCTCTTCCTAATCAAAACTAAAGCATCCATAGAACCTCTGTAAACCCAACCCCACAACCTTGATTCCGTTAATCCATTTTATCAATTAAACAAATTTCCAAGATTGATCATAAATCTACAAATTCTTAAGTCTCAAATCCTGCTTCTGATCTTTACAATTTTTAAATCCTGATAAAATCTTCCACTAACTTCATTTAGAGACTCTTCCTAATCAAACTAAACATCCATAGAATCTATGTAAACCCAGAGCACAGAAACACAAATTGAAGCTGCCTAATGCAAAATGCAATCCTGGGGATCAAAATGCTAACCAATACACAGATTATTAAACGAATAAACGATGAAGAGAAGTACGTACGTTACAGAGTCACCGACGTTACCACCGCACTGATGAAATGACATCACAGCTTGAACCTTAAGCCCAATCTTCTTCGCCATCTCAAGCAACTCATTGTAACCTCCCCAATTGTAAGATCCAGGAGATTCCTTCTCCACCAAACCCCACCAAACATCGATCATGATTCCCTCAACACCAGCACTCTTCAACGCCTGTAAACTCGCTTTCATCGCTTTCCTCCGATTCACCGTATTCCCCATCGTCACGCTATCAAGCGGCATCATAACGAATACCGGAACTCCTCCATTTCCCTTCTTCTCCGAAATCCCTCCTTCTTTGTACGTTCTCTGTTCCTCCATAGTCTCAACACCTGAGACTTGACTCTCCACCGCGAAAGCCTTACACGCCACCGACAGATCCGCTCGCGTCGATCCCAAAACCGGACTCATCGGAGGCGATACGTTTCTGTTTGGATCTTTGTGATTCAGATTCATCGCTTTATGCATCCTCGCCGATGGTGGTGAAACAGATAACGACGAATCCACCGACGGTACGGTCAATTCACCTGACTTAATCGGAGTTCCGGCGAGAGCTCCGAGCTGATGCGTTAGATTTAGCGCCATTACTCTCTCTCTCTCTGTTAATTTCTCCGAAAATGGAATCGATCGCTTGAATATGAATATTCCTCTTTACAAATTTCGATAACAAATTTCTTTTTTTGTTTTTGTTTAGAAATGAGTATTTGTGACGGAGGAGAGATTTGGGGAAGAAGAAAGGGAAGATATTTATAGGGAAGCATAAAAGGATAAGATTAAAATAATATTTGATTGAATCGATGATCTTGTGACACGTGTATAAACGTACGTTGTGGATAAAGACACGGTTGGAGTCAGAATGGACGGTGGTGTGTACAGTGCGCGTGAACTTTCCAGCAGACGCGCATATAACCTCAGAAATTTTTTTGTGGTGAAAAATTTATATTAATAAATCTTTATTTGGGACCATAATAAGC